TAGGACTTAATCTTCCAATTCTACAACAAGCAGAATGGCTCTGTAATAGCTCTGATGAGTGTTTGATTCTACAGTGACCTCCAAATGGGAGCCAAGTAAAGCCCTGAACAGGCTTTCAAATAGTTGCAATTCCTTCACTTCTACTGAGCAATACCTGACTGGGCAAAGATGTCTTTCAGGTAGCACGAAACTACTCACAACGAAGAAAACACTAGTTATTTTTTTTGTGAAGTGTCATAGCCGGTCAGCCCCCACCCCTTGTCTAAAGCTCATATATTTTACATTTACATCTAGACTATGCCCTTCAAAAGAATGATTTATATCCTTCAGCTAACAGAATTTTTTTCCACAAGCAGGCCAAGGAAAAAATTCTTCTCAAGGCCAGATTCTCTTCTTATTTTTTTAGACTAGCAAAATGTTATTTTGTTTGATGGACTTCCTATAGAAAAATAATTCCATTAATTGATAGAATATTAAGAGATACTGTTCTACTATATAAACAGTCATGACAGAAAAAGTTTGGGTTTTAAAAAAAATAAATTCATGCTTACATTTAATAGATTCAGTTAATCAAAATCAAAGGTTTCATTCCATGATGTAGAACAACATGAGAATCTGGTCTGATCTCACCAATGACACTGCTCTGAGCAGGAGGTTGCACTAGATGACCTGCAGAGATCGCTTCCATCCTGACTAATTCTGATTCTATGATAGCCAGGTGTTCACCATAGGCTCACGTCACAATTCAGGAAGGGAAGAAGCTTAAAAAAAGAAGCCAAAGATTCCTCTACAATAAGCTGTCGATATTAGTACACACACAGTAATCCTTGTATGCCTTCCCATCCAGGAGCCTCCACGTCTCATTTCAGAAATTAGCAGACTTACCTAATGTTAAAAACATTGAAGATTGGACGTTAGCAGGCTCAAAGTATTAAAAACCTTGTAAGTACAGAAAGTTAACAGTTCTGTGCAATACTACCAAACAACTTTGTCAAATACGTATCGAAGTTGCCTCTCCGCTTTCTGTAAGATTACATAAAAAGACTAGAAAGCCAGCTGTTACACGAACAGCACCTCCGGTGAGTCCGTATTCATTCCAACGTAGTCTCTAAGGCGAGTTGCACTGTTACTTTGATCTTGTCCAGCTCAGTTTCCTTTCAACTGACAATATCTAGCGTGGGCTGACCCAATAGTCTCATGTTTTCTCTAAAGTATGGAGATAGGAAATATACTTTTATATGCAAAAAAATTCTCGTTTTCTTCCCAACCTACAATGTCAGCTATTTATTGTTAGCTATTTGTATCATAACTTAGCCATTTTCTAATAACTATTCACTCTTGAACATCAGAATCCTTCTTTCCCCCTCTTTGCAGTAAAATGGACTGAAATGCAGCCAATAAAAGCATTCTTTACCACACAAACACAATTATTTTGTAATTACTTACCATTTCTATATATCTCCCTTTGTAAAAACTTTTATTCCAGAGGCACTTTTGTTCTTCAGAACCTAGTTATAAGTGCTTATAAAAATGCCCTTTTTTACTCCAAAATGCTCATTTGTATGTGCTTTACTGGCAGAAGTGGTGTCCGAAAAGTGGATCCGTGGCCCGGTGTGCGTTAAGTCAATTGTCACACAGAAGGACGCAGCACGGCTGACGGCGGTAGCTACAGGAGGCTGCAAATGGCACCACGTAACCGTGCAGCCAACTACTGTACGTGACAGGAACGGCTGAGCTGGTTCACAGGTGCGAAGGCTGACCCACTGACTGCAGCGTGAGGAAGGATGCCACGGTTATTTTCAGAAGCTGCATACAAGCCACATGAACGCATCAAATAAATTTAACATCAGGTAACATAAGTCTTTAAACCCCCATTTACCACCCCCCCACCCCCCCCATCTAAACTACTCTCAAAACTACATTAAGCTCAACTGTCTGAAAGGGTAGTGGTGGGGTTTCACACAAAATCATTTTTATACAGAAAAACATCCTTCCTCATAGGCAGCAGTTCCCTCTTTTCCCTTTGTCTTCTAAATTTTATTTTATTTGTATTCATAAAAACTCATGCAGTGCTATGCTAAACCAATCCTGCATTGCCTAGAAATGTCTGTTCTGTGTTCTACACTGCAGAGCAAAGAGAAGCAGACTAAAGCCAGATTAATTTTTGAAACAGCTTTAGTTCAATTCTATTGAATTCATTTATGTTCAGACTTGGTGATTTTTCTGCAGGTGGTATGGCACTGCTGTGAGAAGTGGCAGACACCCACGCTTATAAATAATCTGAGCATTTTGGTTGTATAGATCTTTGTAAGAACAGCCATTTAACATTTTCCCTATGCCAAGATTTTACTTCCTTGGTTTGCCTTTATGGACAAGTTTACCTTAGCAATTGCTAAGTTTTGCAAAGTTTAACATTCCCACTCCTATCCAATTTTCCCAATACCACAAAGAAATACTGAACTAAGCATAACTGCTCAATTATCTTACAGTTAGTCATAAGTTGGCCAATTCCCAACTTCTAAGTGCTTTGGTATTAGCTCTGCATGCATACCCTCACTGGTTTTGCACTGTAACAAAAGTTATAATGCCAGTTTATTTCTGTACAAAGATAGCACTGACTCAAATGAAAGCAAGTGAAACCTCGGGCATTCTTTCCTCAAAAGGTCTCCAAAAAGCCCCTATGCAAGAGCAGCACAACCAACTTTCCCCTTATACAGTACCACACTGACACTTGGATTCATTCCACTTGCTAGAGCACTGGCGGTAGGAAAGGCTCGTGTACCTCCACACACCATACACGGGGGAAAGAGGCACCAGAAGGAGAGGAGCACCAGTCCCCGGGCTGCCCAGTGCGGAGGGCAGCTGCTCTCCCCAGCTCCCATCCCTCCCAGCCCACAGCCACTGCTGCCAGCAGGGTGCTTGCTCCTGTTCACCGCTTCCGCTGGAGATCAGAGCGCAGGCGAGAGGCAGCACCGCTGGCTGCAGCTGGAAGGAGCCCGGTCACCCAGAGACGACAGGTACAGCATCACCACTTGGCTCACACCGCTCAAGGCTGTGCCAGCAAAAAACTGTCAGAGGGGCAAACTAAGCTTAAACATCAGCGCAGGGAAAATGACTCCAATTACCACCTGTACATTAGAACCCTGATCTATTCCAGAATTTGCAACTCTGGGGTAAGCAGGTGAGAGGAAGTTATTTTATTTCTGCACTGTGAAAGACACACTTTTATGAGGAATTCTTGCGAATACATGAACAGCTTTATTCAAATAAATAATTCCCGTATTTTTCAAGTTTCATATTAAAGCAAAATTCCACGGGCACAGTTTAAATTAATAAATTCCATTAATGTCTTCCTAATTATCTCCACACCTACTTTGATCATCTCCACAGCTTTTTTGGTAAAAAGGAAATACCCTGCCTAGGTATCCATTGTTTGACATACATCAAAACCATACCAGCAAAAACATACCAGCCTTATTCAAAAACTTACTGGAAATATTCACAAAGGTCACAATAACATCATGAATATAAAATAGCCACAAGATGCTTGCTTAGATAAATTTATTAGTGCATAGGTTAGAGATTTACTCCCCTCCAATATTAACAGAACAGAGAGGTTCATGTGAAAACAAAGTTTTGTTTTGTTTTAAAACAAAATCATTGAGGCAGCTATATAACAACAAGTAAAAAGTATGGAGTGGCCTATTCAAATTTCTGGTCTTGATGGGCACTTACTGCATTATAAATAAAAAAAAAACAAAAACAAAAAACAAGATGACAGGATTTTGGGGGTCATTTTAGGTAACCATCTGTCAAACAGCAGAACTGATTTTTCCCCCCATCTAATTTGTATCTCTGTATAAATAATATTTACTGATAAAAATCTAGAAAACACTATAGAATAAAAATATATTTTACTCAGGACAGTACACTAAGGCAACCAATCTTTCCTTACTTTGCATGTAAACTTCCTCACAAACGTCGGTGAGTGTTCTGGACTTACGAGGTAAAGAAATTTGTTCATTAATGAAGCCGAAATTTTTCAAGCGACTTCTTTATGGCTGGCTTGAGAAAAGACCAATAATTTTTTTTCTTTTTTAAACATATTTGACATCTGCATAGCTCCAGCACATTCACAGTACATTTGGACAGCAAAGCAGGAATATTCATACATACAATATAAATTGTAAACTTTGCTGAATTTCATTAAGTCAGACTGAATTATAGTTTACTGAGTAACTTTGATCTCAGACACTTTCAACAAGATGCAAGTTTAAGGATTCTAACCTTTTAGGACTGTGTTATAGCAGTTAACATTATAGTTGAATATTTGGAAACATTGACAAGTGTAGTTTTAGACTGTGTTTAAAAAGGCACACATACTTCCCTCTAATTGTCTTACACTGTAAATATATCTACATATCTACATGGATATACTTAAACAATAAGATGTCAAAAATTCAAGTTACAAATATTTTACACACAAAATACAAAAATAACCTGTAACATTAAATGCAGTTATTTGGTTACATTTTAAGTCTCTCAAGCTTTCAAGTCTTGCAAGCTAGCATTACAACAGGCATGTATATACTAAAACACTTCATATATGTTATACAACACATACATTTCATAACAAATCAGTGTCTTAGCTTGTATTACGTTTCAGACTTTTCTGATGGAGTTAATCCCTGTATACTATATTCACACATCAACATTAGCAAGCTTCTGAATAAGAAATCTTGACTTGGCTTTATGAAGTGTGATTTTTATCATATTTGTATGAACAGTAAGGCTAAGCTGATCCATCAGCCTCCTTTGCACAAGGATTATTTGTAAAATTATCTGCTCAGGTTCAAATTTGGTATGCTTCATTACCGCATTCTTTTACCAGAAATGTTGCAACCAACTTTTTATAATAAACGCAAGGAAATATTTAAAGCAATTAACCTTCGTCACATTGAAAGAAAAAGATAAAAAAAACTGGAAAGTGTAAAAAAGGGTTTTTTTTATCCTCTTCTCAAGTGTAATGCAATAGGCAGATAGTTAAATAAGTAGTCTTTTCAGGATAAAATATTTTAGCACTTATTGAAGAAAAATTTTTTAAGTATAAAGCTTAGATGGGTTAAGGTGACTAAATAATTAATACAGTTAAAGACAAGGCTACACCTCAAAAAAGTTTACAAGAGTGCTAACAAAAGCAGCACTGGTTTAAAATTCATGATTAGAGTTGTATTAGCAATAGGAAAAAAAGCTAAACAGTCAGAACTCAATAGCCTCTCAACTCCCTACTTAAACTGTTTATAACACTGAGATACAAAAAAAATCCTGTTACTTTCGTTCAAAACAATTAAGAGCAAGTTTCTGTCTTACTGATGTATAGTTTATGATGAAAATTCATACATATCCTAATACATTCTGATCTTCATTTACGAGTAAACATTAAGAGTGATTTTGTTTTCATTTTTAGCCATTAGTGATAGGTCATCATCACGGAACAGTGTAAGGCATCACTTATTAAAAAAGGTTTGGTTTTACAGAAGATGTATTTTGGAGTTTCTGAAGGTTCATAACTCTTAGAATGTGCTTGCTATGATAGTGTTGTTGCTAGGATAATTCCAAGTATCAGAAGCAATACAGTTACACATATAATTATGAACATCAATTTCTGCAAAAAAAAGAGAGAAAAGTTGAGATTGAAATACCTTATCAGATACATAACTGTTTAAATACATGCATAGCCACAGAAAATTAATAATACTGATACCTAATCTGAGTCTTTGGATTTTCTTTATAAAGAATACTTACTGTTATGATTTTCTATTGTTAGTCTTTCTTTTCTAACATACATGTAACCATAGTTACAAGATAAAGCTATCTGTGTAACATTTCTGTATTTTGCTTCATAGAATAATTGTTACTACTCATACCCAACTTCTGTAAATATCATTACATATAGAAACAGATGCAATAGTGAACATGTACTTATCAAGGTCAAGTCTAAGTACAGTAACATTGTCACCCTCCTTGGATAAATATTTGTAGCCTGCTCAAGCCTTTACAATTGCACACTTAGTGGAATTCAATAAAACATCAGTAAAAACATTGTGTAGGTAATAGCTAAGAAGAGCTGCGAGGGGAAAAAAAACCAAAACCAAACAACAAAACCAAAAGCCAGAGATGGGTTCTATGTAAATGCATCCAAGTCTGACATTAAGTCAGGTATTTCTGAGTATAAGCAATAATACAGTAAATCCTGTTATCTGCCCATAAACCAAAGCTGAGAAGAAACTGTAACATCAAAACAAAACCCCTTTGATATTGAAAGTGTTAGTACAGAAAACTGAATTCCTGATTAGCTGTCTGAAATGACATTCCACTCATAGCACTTCATACACTTTTTGAAGATACTACATGCAAAAAGTTGAGTTTCTACTAGACTCAGAAGAGTTAACTGCTATTTTCTACTTAGCCTGGCTAGGTGTTATCTTGACAAGAAATGGTACATCAGTACAGCAAAAATTAGGAAATCAAAAGAATTCTCAAATTTATGTCCTAAAATTGCAGCTGGAATCTTTGCAGACTTCCTTTTACAAATACATTGTTATTACCCACTCTTTCATTTAGTCTAGTATTAATAAACAGCTTTGAAGTAAGAAATTGTAGGATGTTCTGCAAGGCATAATAGCCGACTTCACAATTGTAGACATCTACTTTTATGAAAGCTCTACTTAAAATCATTGAAAAACCCCATTTGATAAAGTTCCAAGTGTAACTAGTATTCCCAGTCTTAGTGCAGACTGTTTGCTGATGTGAAATCTGTGTTTACGAGTTATGTAGTGATTGCATTCTGTAAATTTAGCAGCTTACCACTAGGTGTCAGTTTTCAATATTCACATGCATAGCACTTCAATAGTATGCAGAGATAGAGAAGATCCACCAGTGCATCTCAAGCCTCCCCCCAGTATTAACTGTACAATGTTAAGTATTAGTAGAACAATACCAGTTAAGAGAACAAAACAAGAGCAAAATTAGTTGATTAGTTACTTACTGCCACACTGGCAGGAAACCATGCATGCTGAGGTTATCCAAGCATCACCGAATACCAACAGACAAACCAATAATTAGACCAATTATGGCAATCAACACCAGTGACACAATGATAATTATCCACATTTTCTGTCAAAAAACAAGGTATTATTTTAATATTAGGCACATTAAGACTTGCATTTATTTTCATTTTTTTTTAACTCAGTTTTTAGATCCACACTAATTTTTATTATAGCCTGCAGTATTCTCAAATTGAGATATATTTAGCTGCATACTCTTGCATGTGTAAGAATAAACATTTTAAACAGTGTTTACAGGTAAACTAGTGTGACTAACATGTAAATAATTATCAAACATGAGAAAACCTTCATTTATAAATGCATGAAGTGGGCTCTTTTTACACTTCCTAAATAGTCTGTTTTAAATGTAACAGGCATGTTATCTATATGTAGATATCTGTCCATCTACATAAAGATATATTATTCCCTCAAATTCCCTCAAAACTTACCATAAAAAGCCTTACAAAATTGCACAGCATCTCAAAAGGGGACATTATAATATCAGTGGAACACTTTATTCACTCTGCAATCATACAGTTAAACTATGAAAATAAATTACTTAGTATTTTGATTTCAGAAGACATCGTTTGGCTCTCTGGTGGGAAGTAAGATACTGAAACGCAAAACAAGTTTCCATGCCAATGGAAAAGCCCGAATGTTACTTTGAACTCAATTCCTCCACAAAGCTGAGTGTCATGGTTTAATGCCACACCCTTTCAGAGGGAAGATCCCCCTAATCTAGTACTCTTACAAGAGCAGAAAAGTAGTTATCTCTAAAAAGAGTAATTACAGTTGTAATTCTTAAAAAAGTAAGCCTGCTTCAGCAAAACCAGTAACTTTATTTTTCCTGCTAACATGGTGATTTTATAGCTATAAATCCAGGTAGGTTTACCAGTGATGAAGATCCAAAAACCTTTAACCTTATTTAGAGTCTGAATAATTTAAGTTATCATTATAGTCGATACAGAGAACCTGTGAATCTATCTACTAACATAATATATTAATTCTTCTTTTGGGGTTTTTACACTCTGTAATGACAGCTTTTTAAGTGGAAAATTGTAAACATAGCCTTAGCTGTGCATGAATTGCTTATCCGGTTTTATAGTACAAAAAATTTCTGTCCTCTACTGGTAATATCAATTTTTAATATTAACTATAACAAATTAATTCACATTGGAAGTGTTCTGATTTCTTCTGGATTATGGGGGTGGTTTTTTGTTTGTCTGTAAAATCTTTTGGTAACTCTTGCTTTGTCATATACTAATTTATAACAATTTTTTCTCATTTAAGTATTACAACTAAAAAAAGAATGCATTTATTAATTCTACCTGAAGGACTGAATACAAGAACAACAAAAAAAATCAATTACAATTGAAGGTCACTTCATACTATGCTAATATACTGACTAGCATAATTACAGAAAGACAGCATACCCTTCGTGCTTTACTCTGATATTTAACTGCCTTTTTTGTCTCCTCTTTTGCATGTTCCACATAATCTGATGCATTCATCACGTTCTTCTCTATGTTGTTGATCATTTCACCCTTAAAATGAAATTTTGAAGAAAAAAAAATTATTACTGGAATTCATGGATCCTTGTTTAATGAATCGAAGAGTAGAAAGGTTGTAGTACATCAGCAATTATTTTAAACAAGTGAATAACATACATATTAGTGGCTGACTTTTTTCAGCTTTGATATGTAAAAGAAAAAGGTAATGAGAAGCAAGGGCTCAAAGTTCTAGCCAAATAGGGAACATTTATGGGCAGGGCAGGCATGTTTCGCCCTTTTGCAGTAACAAATACTGAACACCGGAAAACATACCTTTGAATGTGAGGTATGTTTTAACAGTCAAAACTAAAACTGACATACTAAAAGAGATCAGAAATCCATGGGCGGAAAGGATATTGACTATTTTGACACAAGGTTCAACAGTTATCTAAGAAAACAGACACATATAATAGCAACCTCAAAAATTCCTCAGAATTGAGGGTGTAGAATGTCGATACATAACAAATTCAAGTTAATTATGATGAATGAAATTTGGTAATGAAATGGAGGATTGGGGAAAAATTACAGCAAATCTGTTACCTGTGTTTCTGTCCATCAGAAGAAATAATCAGCAGCAGTAAACAGCAAAGCATTAAAGAATGATGCACAAGTAACTTTTATTCATTTCTAATTCAAAAGGAAACTGCTACCAATTTGCCTTGGCTATATATTTAATATCAAAGCAACACAGGACTTCTAGAACAAAACCCAATTAAAAAAAAATAATAGTCCTTTTCACAAAAGTTTCTCCCTTGAACATTATTCTTTTCACTTTCCTGCATAAGTCAAAGAATTTTAAGAAAAGATGTTAAAAATATTTTTGTTAGATAATTGGTATGTAAAGACTACAAATAGAACTAATTTACGTACATGTCAAGACAAAGCTTATAAATCCAAGAGACTACTTGAATGACTTGTCAATCCCTTTACATTATAAATAATATTTACTAGTGTTATAAATAACATATACTAGTGTTAGTTGTAACAATAATCATACCTTCGTATCATGTGCAAGTTGCACACATCTTTGCTAACACACATTTTATTCTACCACAGTAGGCCTTTACCATGTCTGTGAGAATCCTGAATTCCCAAGATCTTAGCCAACATGCCAGGACAGAGTTGTTCTTACTCAAACATGAACAAGCATATTGCAATATAAGCACGTTGAAGAATATACTAAGTCTACCGACTGAAAAGAAAGTCTATACTTAGTTATTCATAGCATATAGTACAAGTACATCCAGACTGTACATTTGTCTAAAACAAAACAAAAACCCTCTAGTAATTAATTTTTATATATGCTAATCACAGTCAAAAACCACTGTAGGTCTGTATTATCTGAATACATGAAATATGCAGGAACAACTGCTAAGAGGAAGACTGGGCGAAAAATCCTACTTCCATAAACGTGTTTGAATTGGTTCATTTACCTGAGTCTCAACAAACATTGCCATGTCCATAAACATTTCATGCAGTTCCCGTATGCTAGATTCCAGTTTCATAATATCCTTGTGACGTGACTCAATTTCATTCAGAGCTTGCCTAGTTATTTGAGAGTCTGAGATAATCTTTTGGAAGACAAAAAAAAAAAAAGATATGGGCATAAATAAGTATGTGCTGACACAATTCTAAATAGCAGAAGCAGCAGAATAGAAGACACACACAACTGGAACAGATATACATACATCAGAAGTGAAAATTGAAGGATTACCACTCTCTAACATTTCTTCCAGTTCCTCATCAGTGGTGGTCTTTCCAGCTAGGATAAAAACAGAACTTCATATAACGTCAGTTATTCATTACTGAACATAAAATTTTATCATACCAGAAAGATGACCAATCAAAGAAAATTCTTGTATTGAGCATTTTTCAGGATAAAACAATGCAGTGTTTAGCTACTGCCAAGTGCCATTTTGCATATGAAAAAAACAGAAAATATCAAGTAATAGTCCGAAAACAAATGTAGATTTAAAGCTGCAATGAAAAATTCCTGGTTGGTGGTACTGGTTGTTTTGGTGGGGGTTTTTTTAAGTCTTTTTTGCTCAAATTGAAGAGTGATCAGAAACATTTACAACGTACATATGAACCTTGTTAAATGGAGCGTTCTGCAGAAGGAAGACCTTGAGACACAGAGTATTTATGTAACAGTCAATCTTTATCTATTCAGTCATGTCACATTGGCACTTAACTTCCTTGCTCCCCACCAGTGTGGCAAATGAAATCTTTTGGTAAAATTAATTTTACCAACACAAGATTACATTCATATTCCACACAGAGAAGATTATTACCCGTGGCATACCTTCACTTCTGCTTTTCATAATACACCTAGCAATGGATGTAGTTTATTACTGCATGTTTAAGCAAACAATCCTATTGATCACACTGGTATGATGAATGCAAGTATTATGAGTTACACAACATATTCAAGTTATTTCTGTTGTACAGTTTTAAAAATTACATCTCAAATCTCTGTTATACCCATGCAAAATAAGTTGAATAGATGTGATAACTTATATAGAACTTTGTCCTATTTGATGAAAGTTACAGTTTGAGTATTACTTTCTGGTGTTAATACCCGAGAATGCTGCAAAGCCTGCTTTAAAATGTTCAGTGCTGAGGAAAAGCTGAAGGCTCTAATTGGGTCATAACAACATTTAAGTTAAAAGAACCATGTCCTGAGGTATTAGGGTCCCTGCCCTCAAACACATAGGTAAGGAAGAACTTAACTTGCTCAGTAAACTTTACCGACATGCTGAATTGAACCATTAGCATGAGAAGCTAATGACAAGTTTGAGAAGCACATGAAAACCAAAGTCTTCTTATAGTTTTCCAACGTTTCTGTTTGCATTTCCAATTTCAACAATATATGTATTTGCTTTTACAGAAGATATTCTAACAGGCTAATTTCAGGTACAAGATGTTATAGATTTTTTTTAGACCCTTCCAAGGTAGATGCTGTAGTTTGGAGTAGAGTCAGATACCTTTCTGAATACTCCTTGTAATAATCAATGATGAAATAAGTAAAATGTGAGTCAGTCAACAAATTATTAAAGTATATATAATGGCAGCACTGATTTTATGTTAGCTGAATTTAATAAATATTTTTATTGATATATGTCTAGCATGTTAATTTTGAAATGGCTTTTAATGACACTTGTTATCTTCAGAATGAAGCTTTTCTTAATGTTTCATTTGAAGTTGCAACACTGGAAATAAATGAAACAAAGGAAAAAGATATTTTCTTTAATAATTTTCAACATAAAAGAAATTATTCTGTGAATTTTCTCTATTTTCCTTACATAGTTTATGCCATATGATAAAATTATTTCTTTTCCCTCACATGCTTCAAGAAGATGTCCAAGTTTTATGATGCTTTGCACCACCTTTAAGTAATAAGAAACAAGGGAGGTACTAACAACACAATTCATCTTTCTAAAAACATGTAGTCAGGTCACTTACTTATCTCTAATTGTCTCTGTATCCGACCTTTGCTGCGTTCTCGAAAAAGAGTTTGGGTCTCGTTGTATTCCGTCATGACCTCCACAAACTTGTGAGCTAACACAGAATGCTGTTTTTTGAGGATTTAAAAATGTGGAACAAAAACATTTATTTTTTTTTGATACAGCAAATACTACTGCACAACAACTGAAAGTGCTATTTATATTCCAACAAAACACAACATGAAATTCTGAAACTATTTCAGAAAAGTGAAACTCATTCTCTGATTTACTAGAATCCTTTTATTTTTTTTAAACTTATTAAGTGCCCATACCTGTGTTTTTCTTATCCTGAGGTCCACTGATGTTCGATTAGCATTTTCGCCCTGATCAAAGCTTTGTTCAATAGCTAAGAACAATACAAGAATATTACAAGTCAATGTTCAGTATAATTATTTATTAGTGTAGCTCAGTTACTTTGTAAATATTATTATTACTTTTCTCATGTACAAGCTCCCTACAGACATGTTTAACATTTCAGGGAGAGGAGGGGAGTGGCAGTGATACACATATATACAAAAATTAAAATTTTAAATAATTTTGATAATTGGTACAGAGCTGAAAACACAGTAACTACTTTGGTACTCTTAACAGAGTCACACTACTGTCTATTACTCTGGAAAGATTTCAAAAGGTGTAACAAAATGGGCTGCTCTTACAATTTAAACAATAAACACCATACCCTAGTGTTTATGGAAGGACAAAAGCATACAGTAATTGTAACATAGTAACATTAAAACACTCAATATATTTCAAAACATATGCTAAGCAATAGAGACATAGTCATGGGGGAAAGCCACAGCAACATTAGCTAGTCTGAATTTTAAAACACAGTTGGTTCTCTACAGCAATTCCCTCTGTAGACATTTATGCCACATAAACAGTTAATCTTCCAAAACATCATGACTGAAAAACAGCATTTCAGTTGCAGAATACATTTCTACACAGAGGACTTGCTTTGCATTGTAATTTTCTAGGTTATTTCTAAAAGCAAACAAGTTCTTTGTCCTGTTCCACAAACTAGGCTGTGCTGATACCTCGTATGGCCTGGACAGGCATACTCTTACTGGGTAATAAACTGGCTGGGTGGCCAGGCCCAAAGGGTGGTGGTGAATGAAGTTAAATCCAGTTGGAGGCTAGTGACAAGTGATGTTCCCCAGGGCTCATTGTTGGGGCCAGTACTGCTTAACATCTTTATCAATGACCCAGACGAGGGGATTGAGTGGACCCTCAGCAAGTTTGCATATATCACTAAGCTGGGTGGAAGTGGTGATCTGCTGGAGAGTAGGAAGGCTCTACAGAGAGACCTGGACAGGCTGGATCGATGGGCCACAGCCAACTGTATGAGGTTCTACAAGGCCAAGTGCTGGGTCACAACCCCCCCATGCAATGCTACAGGCTTGGGGATGAGCGGCTGGAAAGCTGCCTAGCAGAGAGGGATCTGGGGGTGCTGGCTGAATATGAGCCAGCAGTGTGCCCAGGTGGCCAAGACTGCACCCAGCATCCTGGCTTGTATCAGAAATAGTGTGGCCAGCAGGACAAGGGAAGTCATCCTTCCCCTGTACTTGGCATCGGTGAGGTCACACCTTGAACGCTGCATTCAGTTTTGGGCCCCTTACAATAAGGGCACTGAGGGGCTGGAGCATGTCCAGAGAAGGGCAACGAAGCTGGTGAGGGGTCTGGAGCACAAGGCTAATGGGGAACAGCTGAGGGAACTGCAGGTGTTCAGTCTGGAGAAGAGGAGGCTGAGGGGAGACCTTATCTCCCTCTACAACTGCCTGACAGGAGGGGGGATCCAGAGGGAGTCAGTCTCTTCTCCCAAGTAACAAGCAATAGGATGAGATGAAGCGGCCTCAAGTTGCACTGGGGAGGTTTAGATTGGATATCAGGAAAAATTTCTTCACCGAAAGGGTTAACAGACACTGGCATGGGCTATCCATGGAAGTGGTTGAGTCCCCACCCCTGGAGGTATTTAAAAGTTGGGTAGACAAGGTGCTTGGAGACATGGTTTAGTAGTGGACAGGTACAGTTGGACTCAATGATCTTAAAGGTCTTTTCCAACCAAATGATTCTATGATTTATCAGCAGTGAAGCTTGCCAAGGAGGAATAAAGTAGAAGACGATACTGTTACTAGCATGGACTGTACAACAGTCAGTAGGGAGGTGGTTCTCTTTTCTTTTTAAGAGCTGTACAATACAATTTATGCATACATAATGTGGCTTTTAAAGCTGAGAAGTTCACCTGCAATGCGTTAAGTTTGCTACCATTCTGAATCATTACAAGGGACAGTAGTTTTATTTCTGCTCACAACTTACCCTTTAACCTGGCTCGGATTTTATTAGCAATCTTCTTTATTTCCTCATTTAATTCTTCAAGTTCTTCCTTTGTTCCTTTAAAAAGAGAAAAAAAAAGAAGGATTTTTTTTAAACTGCTAATGATTGATGATAGTAAACCAGCAACCATCTAATCACCTACCTTGCAGTCTTGTAATGGTACTCAGTAAAACCATGTAGAGGAGTGTAATAAACTACTTCTAAGTACTTTAAATACAACTTCTATAACAGCGTACTATCAGACTCCTGCTTCTCATGACAGGCCCTTACACCTGGGAAATGTTATTACCAACTAAACCAGGTGATACAATATTGCATGTTTTTTTCTTAATGCAACACCTTCAGGATATTATTAATTTTCTGATCAAAATGAAAGTTCGCTGAAGTTTATCAAGTGAAAATACAGATTTATCTCATTGTTTTTTTTTAGTTCTGTTTACCATGGACTCCTTGTTTTTGCCCTTATTAACGTAACTGTACCACACACTACCTATACTTTTTGAAGAATATTATACAGAGTATTCTTGAAGAACTTAGCTAGTTCTCTGTTACTGGGTTTACTAAGACACTAGATTCACAAAAGCATACGTTACTTACAAGCAATATTATGTTCCTACACAGTTCAGATGCATTAGTGAGCACAATTTTTAGCACAAACACAAGTTGATAAATAAGCTGAGTCCACAGACTTTAAACATTCAAATGAACCCTTATTAAACCCGAGATTCATTGATTGTTAAGACAAAAAGCAGTCTGTGTTCTTACAAATGATTTTGCAAACATATGCCCATCCATAGACAAAGAAAACAGGGGGAAAAGAAAAACTAACACCCAAAGTTCAGTTTTCATCAACAAGAAGATAAATGTCAAGCTATCGTTGCAACATTTCACAAATATATCTCAGCATCTTTTCTTCCCTTTTCTTTAAACACTGCCCACAAACCCAGGCACGCCTTGAATTAAGAAGTGTTGAGAACAGAGAAGGTTCCATATTTCTGGGTAAGTTCCCTGAACTCCTGAGTTCTCTATTCAGAAAGCACATCTTCACTTGCAGCTTTGGAGTTACAGCCTTTAAAAACAGGGCTCCAGCATGAAACGCTTAGAACCACTGAAGCAGCTGGCTGTAGTGTAAGATAGGATCTTGCCCTTACTAAAGAATCAAGAGAAGATGATGGCTCTATCATGTGAACTTCGGTTGACAACGTCAACATCATCACAGATTAAAAGAAATGCAGGTAGCCTCTAAGTTTCTGAAGACACAATCAATTTCAAGATACCATATTAAACTGAGTTTTGGTCTAGCAAAGGTCTGGATGATGCAACAAATATTCTGAAAATACATTTATTTGAATGAGACATTAAAAAGGTAAAAATAACAAATGAAAATATAAATTCAATATTAAATACAGAAATATTTAAATAAAGTGTTAAATTTTGCATTCTGAACACCTGAAGTTCTATTCCTATAGATATCTAAAACAAATGAAAAAATCGATTTCAGAATATCTAGCCACACATATCTGAAATCTAAAAAAGAAGCGATACTCACTTCCTTCAGGATTTGGTGCTGACAGGATAATGCTGTGCTGCTTCTTCACTTCTTCCACATTTTCTGCTATTTTTGCTATATTATTTCTAAGTTCCTCAACCTAGAGGAAGAGAAATATGGCAATGAAAACATTAGAATAACTCAGGGCAAAGGCTTTAAAAAAACCCAACAACTTTGGTAATAAAAATCATAAAGCATTTCACTGCAACATTTGTAAGTAACTGACAGAAATCCCAGCAGAAATGTTGACATTTAAACTTTTTTTTTATGTTTAAGAAAAAATGGTATTCTTAATAGCAAATATATTCTGTATGGCCAAAACCTGAAGCGCTACTATTCTTAATACAAGATATTTTAAAATTCTATAAGCAAATTCCTTGTCAACAGGGAGTTAGGAAAACTTCTATGCAGTAAAGACAAAAAATACCCTGAAATAAACAAGCAAAAGTGTTAACATTTGATGTGGTATACCATTATAAAGCACATTATGGAGGGTGCATGTAGAATAATTGTTAAACCTAATTATAGAAATTAAAAGGCATGGAAAGAAAACTAAGTCTTTAATGCATGGTGAAAATTATAACTTCACCTGTTGGAAAAAGTCATCCATAAAATGGTCTTTTTCAACAATAACTGTCTCCCCATCTTCATTTCCTTTACACTGTAAAAGACAACAAAACAAATCTATGAAATGAAACTCAGGATACTGTTCTGAAACAACTATGACTTCTTCCACGTGGCTACTGCATACATGTTTTTGACAATAGTCTGCAAAGTCAAAAATGTAAGTTTTCCTCTTCTGAGGACTGTAATGTAAAACCAAATAAGCAGAGAGGTCAAAGAAAGTCACCTGACTACCACAAAGTTGTGAACACTAAGGCACATACTCCTCCGTAAACAACTTCAGGACAGAACCAGTCTGTAAGTGATGCCACAGTTTTCACTACCCGTCGTAAAAATTATTAAAATACAATCTGGCATAGAAGTTTTCTCTCACAGCATAAAGATACTTCCACAGCGAGTCCCACATGAACTGAAAATAATATTTGGTTTACTGAGACAGTAAGTCAAACCCTCTCAAAGAAATACCAAGAAAGGTGCTGATGACTGACTTGTGCTGTAATAAGCTACCATCTAATGAAAGCAAGAACAAAAAGCTATCAACATCTGCTTACTAGTTTTACCCCTGGGTGTTTTCAAGGTTGCCATTCCACACCAATTTAGACATAATTACGCTACACTAAACTATACATGCATTACATAATTGATAAACCCTTGGAAGAGCAGCCAAGGAGGCTGAAGCTCAAGCTGACAGGCTCTCACAGGTCTCCAGGGCACACAACCCAATACGTTCGTTCCCTGAGTCACACTTCCCTAACCCTTGAGCCAGCCCAGCAGAATATGTGGATCTTGGTAGTAAGTGAGATTCAAATTTGCTCAAAGGAAGAGAGAATTAACATGTATCATAAAGGCAAAGACTTCCAGCTTCCATGTTCTCTAGTTCCCTCTGTAGAACACACTGTTTGAACTGCATCGAAACAAAATTAGAGCAAAAAAACTATTCTACCATAAAGTCAATGGGTTATCTGTGAGAAAAAAAAGCTACGAGATAAGAAACATTAAGGGATTTTCATGTTTAGAACTCGATGGGTTATCTGTGAGAAAAAAAAGCTACAAGAAACATTAAGGGATTTTCATGTTTAGAACTCCTATTTTATTACAAGCCCTTCTGCCTTTGACATTCTAACACCTTCTTTCTGCTCCTAAACCCTGATCCTATTACCCAAAAAGCCCTTTGTTTCTGGTTTTATTATATTAAGCGAGATGTGTATTATTTGCATGACAATTCTGCAATTTGATCCAATGTCAATACTGCTATTACCTAATAAAGAAGGTTATACTCAGTGATGATCTATGCATCAAAATCTACTAAGACTGCTCCAAATCTTCAAAGAAAGTTATTACTTATATTTTGTGACAGTTCCTTTCCTGCAAATTCGGGGAGTACATAAAGCCCTATGACAATATGTTTGTGAGAAACAAACTGGTTTTCATGCTCAGGGGAACCGTATGCCTCAAAACTGAACTATAGGAATTTAGATGTTATTGCTCTCCTGAAGCACCAATCACTCAATGCTGTCATTGAAGACTTTTTGTAGTTACACATTTTGGAAAGATGATTGCTAGAACTCAATATTAAAGAATCTGTCTTTAGGGACTGCAATCAATCAACAGTCTTGCTTAATACAAATATGCCCAAATGAAGTTACCCAGCATTTACCCATACCAGAGACTTGCAGTGCTACAAAGTTACCAGTTATAAGTTAACATTTTAAGAATAAGCTACACTTCAAAGACATGAAATTTCACTACCTAAAAGAACACCTGCTTACATTTACTGAGTAAAGAATAATTTTTCTAATTGTTAATAACCACATTCTGTATTTAGTTAATTGAACTAAAATGAATGAAAACAGTATCAGCTAAGAGATTCAGCGTGCCAGCTTTTAGTTCAGTCAGATCTTAGTAAAACATTAAACACCCGAGTGAATCTTAAACAAATGAAAGATAGCAAAATCGTACTCAGAAGTCCTGTTTGTGGATGCTAGGCTGGAAGGAAGCAACCATGATTACCCACCCTGCACTCAGTTCCACATTCATTTCACTTTCATATTTGGTTGCAGCAACACCAATGACAGATCAATTTGCTGTCTACAGTTTGTTGAAGGATTTATGCTCAGGCTACCTTGAACATCAGCACTTGAAAGATACCCGATGAGTTGTCAACCTCTGTTCTCTATGTTCTTAAATCACCACTTACCTAAAATACAGCTGATTTGCTAACTCTCCTCAATTTAAGTGATACACCTTCTTTTGACAAGCACAGAATTCAACCAAGAACTCACTTTTGTCATCAAGTTTACCAGAAACATATTGTTTCTCCTAGACCTTACCTCCTCAGTACAAGCACTATCACAAAAAACTGATAAAAAGTTTCACGTCAATGCCAAGAGCAATCTAATGAGGTCTGTTTGCAGCTCATTCCTTGACCTTGGGACTGAAAGTCAGGGCCATACAACTCCATAAACATTCATAGACTTAAGATATATCAAGTTCCCTCAAAAGTTGGTTTATATGACAGAAGTCAGATATTCAGACAATATAATTTCTCAGCTCTAAGTAGAAGCTATTCTGATTGTTTATGAAACTTCTGACATTTCCCAAATCTTAAAGAATCGCAGAATAAGGCTAGCTTGAGATGTCTTACCAAAGTAATCACTGAACTTTGAAACTGAAAACAGTTTGACCTAAAGCCACATCTGTTACTTGCCCTCGAAATTCCAACCAAGGTTCATTTTTTCTGGGTCCAGATCCCCTGTATTCCTCTGGCAGGCTTCAGGAATAATAACTGACCACCATCATCCAAATGGATCAGACCCAAAGGGTGGGTTATAGAGCATTAGATCTTCTCCTTATAGCATCCATGTTTCAAGAAATCCTTTTACATCAGAGTAGCCAAGGAGGGCTCACAGAGGGCCAAGGAGATCTGTCAGGCAGCTCTGGCAGGTCAATCATTAACACGCATTTACCAGCATTACCGTACAAGTAGAAAAACCTCGTATGGTAACCCTCTACAAGAAACTACTTTACACCGTTGTGACATGGAAAACACACAGCTCATGTTCAGAAAATTCCATGTTTGAACAAAGACTAATGTAAGAGGTTAACTCAGGTTAAAAAAAGAACTCAGTAATGTTTTCCTCCTTCGTCTGAAAAGGATCCTGCATTTTTTTCCATACCACCCAATTCTACCAATTTTAACTTTTGTGACACTGTGGTTCTTCACTCATTCCTAAACAGTTTTGGGGGCACTAGGTGAACGCCCAAGAAACAGTTTGTAAAACCCCCAATGCAGTTCTGTTCAAGTTACAGGTCCTTGTTTAAAAAAAAAGCTACAAAGATAAACATATTTTTCAAAGGTTATGTCCAAGACATCCTCATTAACACTCAAACAGTAAAGAAATAAAAACCATGTATTTAAAATGATTCACCAATGAAGCAAGAAAAATAGATTTTGATAGATAGCTCTGCATTCATGTCAGCATGTAACAAAATGGTAATTTTTGAGCCATATGAACAACGCATCCCAAACTTCAGATCTAGAACACCACACTTAAGCAGAGAAGATTTACATCCTACCTCTTTCTTAAACGCTTTAACGACAATAACAAAGACGTCTGAATGAGTTTTGTTACCAGACCTTTAAAAGGACATCTGTTTTTAGTACTGACACGGGCCAAATGCGCTGAACTGGGAGTCTGAACGCAGATCCTACAGCTTTTTTAAAGTCATTCTAAGATGGACTTACACGCGTGAACAGCAAACCACTGAAGGCTGGGAGAATATTTTACATAATCATTGCTACGTACTTGCCCGGGGTTTTTTCTTCCTTGAATATCTACTATCAACGACTGCTGAAAACAGAATATTGGGATCAGAAAGAACCTTTTATTCTTCTTTTAATCTTACACTCATTTACACTCAAAATAACTAAAACCAGACGGGGATTTGATCAATTGTCCACTTAATTGTATTAAAGGACAATTCAAACAGCTGAAAGAAGTTCATTTTGGCCTACTTGGAATAATTTAGAAATGACATTAAAATAATCCCCTAGAAGTGCACAAATACAATTATGGTTGCTATCTTCTGAAAATACATGTACTTTACAAGACCTTTTCTAGCCAGAAAATAAGAGGAAGTGACATTATCTGAAGCCTATATAATCTCCATGTCTTCAACAAGTTCTCCAGCAACTATTTCAGCACCGTTTAACTGCCTTAATATGTTGTATTAAAAAAAGTATCAGGAAGTTATGATTAACTTTATGTTAATGAACCACAAATGTTGATAAGTAACATTTCTCCCTCTACTTTATAAAGATAAAGGGAAATCTAGGAAAAATGTTACAACTTCTAACAACAAAATAGTTTGCTTCCTGTCACATAAAATACAGGAACACACAAATGAGGACATGTAAACTTAAATTTACATTTCTGCTAAAGGGAATACTGTATTTAGTTAAAACCCTTCAGTGTAGATTGGCTAACCCCGGAGGATCTCTTGTGTATCACATTGGGTCTTTGAGGGAAACAAGGTGGATGGAACTTA